TTATTCTTTTATATATTTTAATATGTACACGTCAGAATAAGCATGTTGTTTGAATTTTTACATAAATATTGTGTTACACTGAATGACAATGTAACATTATTTCAACCAAATTTATTCTCCAAAAACTTATTTGAAACCTTAAAATTAGACACTTTACTTACATTTAATGTGCTTTCTATGGACATAAAATCACTTTTGTACATTTCTTTTGATGCGGACATCTTAACATCTTTTCACAGGAAAAATATGTTATATTTGTATATTAAATATATTTATATATGATATAAATTATATAAATATATACATGTAAATATTTTCAAAATATATATTGTATGTGTGTGTATTTATATATACATAATAAATATACACAGTACACACACATATATTACATAAACAAAAACTTTTATTTTGGATGCCATTAATCGCGATTAATCATTTGACAGCAGTAATTAAGACTAGTCTTACAAGTTAGTCATCTTATTTTTTTTTCTTTAAGACTGGTCATACTTTTGTAAAATTCAGTTACATAGAAGTGTAGATTAGTCTAAGTTGAATCCAAAAATAAGACTGATTAATTAAGTATGAGATTGACCTTAATTAGGTTAATTAACCTTTGGATAACTGCTAGTTGGTCAAACTCGTACTTAAGGCACTGCATTCAAAATATCACAAACATCTCAAAAGCAAACATTTGCCATAATATTAATTCCTGTTCGAGTTTTGTGTGTTACATAGAGAATTGTGTGTTGTGTTTTGCAAAAAGTGTTTTATGAAATTGAAGGCCGAGAATTAGTGTATGGTTTTGCAGACTGCGATCTGCTAGCGCGCCTGCCCGGCCAATCACCAACTAGTAGCGCTCCTCATCTGCTAGACTCTAGAGAGCCTGGCGATCCGCTCTGGCATCCACTAGTACGCCTGCTCATCTACACTACAACATGATCTGCACTTGATGAATAGCTAGTGTGTGTGGCACAGCAAGTGCACTTAATAGCAGGCCATCGCACTAAATAACTGCGAAATGAATCACTGTGACACAAGCACACTAAAATCTGCACAATGAGAACAACATCTAATGAATAAAGCCATTTAAATACAATGAGAACTGCAAAACAAATATTTTAAAATATAAGTAAACACGTTTTATCTTTATCTTTTATTTATCTGCAGCACCTAAGTTAACACTTTTTATTTGTATTTGTATTTATTTATTTATTTGTTTGTATTGTCATAAACACTCCGATTTACAATGGAGTGTAAATTGATGAGAACATTTTAAAGCTTTTTTTTCTATTTATAAACTGTTATATATATAGAAATATATTTTAAAGTTTAATATATTTTGCAGCCTGTTGCACATTTCAAACTGTGTAGATGTTGCTTGGAAAATCTTTCATTACATCTTATTAAATGCAAGATATGCTGAACTGACGCGACAGAAATAAGAAAAAGAAAGTGTTTTGTGTCATGTAATTATGAATAAACAACATAAATGATGCAAGCAAAGCAAAATAATATTTTCAGTTTTTCACAACTGAAAAGATGTCATTTTCTATCATTTGTGTGATGAAAATATTATCCTTTATTATCCATCTATAAACTTTCTTTTTTTTTTTACTATATACTTTACTATAATCTATGGCGATAATGTGAATTATTACTTTTGTTTTGATATGACTATAATATATTCACTGCCCTCACAAATGTGCCGAGTTGTAATGTGAATTTCTTTTTGTTTCTGAAAAAAATAAAATAAATAAAAAACCAGTTACAGCCCTTATGTGAATGAGAACATCACATGAATTATTAATAAAATGCAGTGGTTCTAAAAATAGTCTTCATTATCGTTGTACATATTGTTCTTTGTCCAGTAGGTGTCGCTACAAGACTGTTGGACATTAGATTACAGTTTTTACGCTTGGGCACGATTTTAAAAACAAGGCTCATTTTGTCAAAACACTACACGGTTTACACATCTACACACAATTAGCAGAACATCTCAGATCTTTCGCAAAATGAAACACTTCATTCAAAACTTCACAATATTTTAACAAAACCCAGTTTCATCTGTATGTGATGTTTTTTTTAAGATGCGGTGTTGATAGAGAGACCTGATGGACATTATTAAAAACCCTGTGGTCCTTCAGCATGCTTGTCTGGATTTCTCCGAGACGCATCACATTATTGGCCGTGTTTATGATAGCTCGCTCTTGTTCCTCTGTGAATATGGGGCCCCTTCCTCTACGTTCTTGACCCTCAATCCTATAATCAATCAAAATACATGTTACTGTAAACGTCACAGGACAGCACACAAAACATGGTTTCAAACACAGAACACAGTGAATGGTACCAGACAGTACTGATGGAGGGCATATAGTAGGCTATATTGTACTGTAGACAGTAGAAATGTTTTTTCCTGTGCTCTTGTCGAAATGTCTGAATTACTATAGCAACAGTATCTGCTGAAGTTGGTCTGAACTCTCGCTCTCTCTCTCTCAGTGTCAACCCATGGTTTACAACATGGTCAACCAAGGTTGCTCGAATCGCATCTGAGAAATTTGGTCCCCGTCTTCTTTGTCCATGTCCTCCTCCAGGTCTATCTCTTCCTCCACAGTCTCCCCCTCGCATATTCACTCTTCCTCTTCCTCTTCCTCTTACTCTTACTCTGACGTTGCCTTCCATTCATGAGTCTGTGTGTAGTCAGGTTTAAGTCCCCACCAGAATATATAAACCAGTACACAGATCCTCTCACACACACACACACACACACACACACACAGAGAGCTATCACAGTGTGTGTGTGTGTGTGTGGCTCTCTCTGTGTGTGTGTATGTGTGGCCTGTAGTCTGGACTGTAGTGTCAGCGCTGATGACAGCTTCTCGTTCTCAGGCCGCTGCTTTCGCTGTTAGAAGCAGTCAGACATCCGTCAGCACATCGGCAGCCGCACCACTACAAAGAGCTTGTGACTATCATAATAGTAACCGGCTCTCAATCCAAACATTTACACAGGAAAGTGAAACACAAACATTTTGTGTCGGCAGGTCGGGGCAAATCTCTGGCGCTCGGAATGAAACGTGTTTGTGGTTCTGCTTCACACCACACTGGCAGAGATACTGTAGAGACGGCCGAGGACGGACAGGCCGCTTGGAGGAGGCTCATGGTTTGAGGATCAGCTTTAACAGTGCACCCTGCATCAGTTTATTATGTGCTGAAAGATTTTCAGCTGGAGGGCTCGCTTTATTATCGTGTCACGACCCCCTGGCTTTCTGATGTGAAACCAGGGTTTTATAAAACTATCAAACAAACAAACAAACAAATAGATAAATAAATACAAATTGTTCCTTATTTCATTAATTTTCTAAAATTAAATAATAATAATAATAATAATAATAAATTAATAAAAACTCTATAGTCAAACTTTAATTGAAATTAATGTGAAAGCAGAAAATATACAAATAAAATCTAATTCACATTTCTAAGTCACATCTCAACCCAATCTCAGAAGAAAATTATAAAGATTTTGTTTGATTGTCAAATCATTTTCATGACTATTTAGTGTAATTCTTCTTATTTTAATGTGTCCTGATGTTTCACCTCGGGTTTTATAGTAATTTCATGACAATCATGATACTTACTTACTTACTTACTTAATTTATTTATTTATTTATTAAATCAACATTATTGTTACAATTGATATGTGAACTATCATATGCATCAATTTCATTTAGATATACA